CATTATTGAACATGAATCAATGCTTGTAGAATGCAGCTATAATGAGTTGGAGAGGCCAAACAAGGTCATAAGATGTGTAGACAATAGATCCATTTGAAATAATAACAGATTACTAAACATATCTTCCTGATGACAAAGAATGTTGATGCTTCCGTTAGTGTCACTAAGCTGCATGGTGCAGTTATTGGGTTTATTTCGTTCATAAAATTTTCAGATTTTGATAATCAATCCAGATTACAGCAATCACTTGACTGGGATTGTATTACTGTAGAAGCATATTGTCCTTCATCAGCTTGTTTCCTGTCACCTTCCCGAGGCAAGGGAGTTAACTGACTTTAAAAGTCCAGTTTCCACTAGCCGAACTAGGTTGGTATATATGGGCTCGATCGTAGCGCCACCAGTGGCTGTTATGAGTTATGTCCCTTCTATGCCTCTCCTATGGACCAATCAGATTCCACCTCTCGAATCACTTGCATTTGCTTCAAACATGGTGGCACCCAGTATGACGATCTGATCGATAATCAAGATCTATATTGTCATGAAACGGGTCTTACATTGCGAAGTGCATCAAATCATGTGAGCACCTTGATTAAAAACGTGAAAAGATATGAAAAATATGTGTTGACAACGAGTTGGCGGAGCACATGCTTTACAAATCCTGCAATCGACCGAAATCTACACGACAGTTTTCGAACAGGATTTCCGTTTCGTTGCGCGATTTTGACTGGACTATTTCTGGACTCGTTAGTCCAGCCAAAATGTAACTCCATAATAGCAGCCTAGTTCGGCAAGGTCGAAACTGGACTTTTATGGACAATCAACTCTATTATTATAAAAATTCATCGATAGAAACTAACTGTTTTAGTCAATTTATATCAAAGTCCTTATAATGATATCACATAGCAAAACCCTTAATATTGGCAAACACCTACTGGTCCTTATGATACCTTAACTATTGGGCAGCTTGGCAAGGACTAAAGGACTAGTGCCAATTTCTACCACTGTAACTTTATTGGGACGATATGTTAGTCTATGTATCAATAACTACGAAGCAATTTGCTCATCTGGTTGAAGTGTGTATACACCTGTGTCCATCAAATACCGGACAAGGGGAGAGACTTATCATTAGCCTGATAGAACAGGCTTGTTTACACAAATAATCACAGAGCATCCACAATCTAAACATTAGGATGCTGGTGTTTGTTCGATCAATTCCCGACTGACAGTTGGACTAAACTCCTCCCCAGGACTCCCAATCATCTGTCAGAGTAACCATCTCCAGTCTCCCACAAACACTCGGTGATGTCAAGCTGTCCTCATCAACACTCATTAAGCGCTGAGGCTGCATATGCCTGATATATGGGTCATACATTGGAGGAGTGACTGGTATGTAAACAGGATGAATGTAATTACTGTCATCATCGCACCAGGTGGATGGTATGCACTATGTCATAGTGCTAGGTGGAAAGTATGCATCATTTCATAGAGAAAGGTGGATGGTATGCATTATGTCAAAGTGCTAGGTGGAAAGTATGCATCATTTCATAGAGAAAGGTGGATGGTATGCATTATGTCATAGAGCAAGGTGGAAAGTATGCATCATTTCATAGAGAAAGGTGGATGGTATGCATTATGTCAAAGTGCTAGGTGGAAAGTATGCATCATTTCATAGAGAAAGGTGGATGGTATGCATTAATTCATAGAGCTAGGTGGAAAGTATGCATCATTTCATAGAGAAAGGTGGATGGTATGCATTAATTCATAGAGCAAGTTGGAAAGTATGCATCATTTCATAGAGAAAGGTGGATGGTATGCATTAAATCATAGAGCTAGGTGGAAATTATGCATCATTTCATAGAGAAAGGTGGATGGTATGCATTAATTCATAGAGCAAGGTGGAAAGTATGCATCATTTCATAGAGAAAGGTGGATGGTATGCATTATGTCAAAGTGCTAGGTGGAAAGTATGCATCATTTCATAGAGAAAGGTGGATGATATGCACCATGTCAAAGTGCTAGGTGGAAATTATGCATCATTTCATAGAGAAAGGTGGATGGTATGCATTATGTCAAAGTGCTAGGTGGAAAGTATGCATCATTTCATAGAGAAAGGTGGATGGTATGCATTAATTCATAGAGCTAGGTGGAAAGTATGCATCATTTCATAGAGAAAGGTGGATGGTATGCATTATGTCAAAGTGCTAGGTGGAAAGTATGCATCATTTCATAGAGAAAGGTGGATGGTATGCATTATGTCATAGAGCAAGGTGGAAAGTATGCATCATTTCATAGAGAAAGGTGGATGGTATGCATTATGTCATAGAGCTAGGTGGAAAGTATGCATCATTTCTTAGAGAAAGGTGGACTGTGAATATGCATTATGTCATGGCGCAAGGAGGACAATATGTATCATATTTTAGAGCAAGGTGGACAATCATTATATCTTAGAGCAAGGTGGACAATTTACATTATATCATTTATTGAAGCATAGCCTATATCAAGGTCAAGTCCAATTTCACCACAAATACTCAACATTCACCAGCAATATACCGGTTAAGATTCAGGGTAGAATAAGTCTTCAGCTACGCATGCTTGCCGTAACAGGCAACTATGCTAGGTAACTAACAGGATTAGGTGGTCAGGCTTGCAGACTTGGTTGATGCATGACATTATATCCCAATAGCGTGGATCATGCTCATGACATCAATCACTGGATCGTCTGGTCCAGACTCGATTATTTACAGACCGCCGTCATATAGCTGGAACATTGCTAAGTGCAGCGTCAAGCAACAAACAAACAAACAAACATCACAAGCAAATGTACCCGAGTATCCTGTCCAGATTGTTAGAGCTTACAAATGAGGATTGGGTGGTCACAATGTGTGCTTTGTATGGCTATTAACACTATTAGTCTAGAGCAAATGTTGCCCATCTTCAAGTGGTTTCCTTGTCTTGTGTTATATCTAGGTTGAGACAACCCCAAGCCTCAAGCCACCTGCAGACTCGTTAACCAACATTCTCAGACACTTTTCAATGTACCGTATTCGACGTAATAAGTGCCCAGGGCGCTCTTAAAATAAGAAATAGGGGGCTCTTATTAGTATATAATTTTGGTGGGAAAAAAAACAGAGTTAAAAGATCGTAAATTTTGTGTTTTATGCTGACAGCCTGAAATGATACAAAAGAAAAGTCTGCGTATTATACTCGACAGATATATTTTTCTAGAATTTAATTGCCCGTAATTAAGGGTGCATATACACGAATAAATAAGTCTTGTGTACATTGATCAATCGGAAGGGGTGCCAATTGGGATTGTTCACCAGCCAATATATTAGCAAAAAACGCTGTGGGCACTTATTAGAGCGGGGCGCTTATTACGTCGAATACGGTATCATTATTTTGCTATAACCTTAAGTGGTTTGAAGTTTACAGAAACAATATAAATCTTGTATGCCTCCTCCCATGGGTGTCACCTCTCTCAATCCGTCTATTAAAGCTGCTGTGTCAGCAACAATTTTCCCTTCACATCTGGCCGGTAATCAGACTGCCCCACAACACACAGGTAAACTTCACCTGGTAAAACCTCGTTAGCCCCAGTGTGCGACCAGGTAGATCCTATAATGGGGTGTTTGGGCAGGTTGTTCACATGCCATGATTACCAGTATCTCAATAGTCCAGGGAAAGGGAACACGACTGTATTAAGTTTTTATGCTTGTTACTGACACCTGTTGGATTAACTTTACCTGAGTATTGACCGTTAACCCTGCAGAGGGGAACTGTACAACTGGGAGATTAACACAGGATTGGTCAGACTTGGTTTGTTATGGTAATGACATTTGAGTGGACAAAGTGACCGTGTGGCTTGAGACTCATGACGCCTTGTCATGTTAATTGGTTGTTACTAGGCATGTCCTAAAAAGTATGTTCCTAACAAATAAGGTGACTTTTTTATCCACCAAACATTTCCTGAAATAATCACATGTTTTCATGTTGACCACAGATTTCAGAGAGTAATGTGTAAATTGTCTTTCGAATTACATGCCTTCATAACTATAAATTCAAACATGAAGTTCTTTGATTATTGTTCTCGTTAACATCGTCCCCTACAGCTACTGCTTTGATGTTGTCAACAGCTACGGCTACTGTTGCTACTGCTACAACTCCCATTACTGATACAACCACAACCACTACAACTACCTCTACAGCCACAATCACCAATGCTTGTACTGCCACTACCACTACTACTACAACTGATGCCACTCCTGTTAATACTACATGTACTACTACTACTACTACTACTACTACTACTTCCATAACTACCACTACTGCTGCTGCTATTACTGCCTCTACTACTACTACTACTACTACTACTGCTGCTGCTACTACAACTACTACCTCTACTTCTACCACTAATACTACTAAAACTACTACTACCACTACTACTACTACCACTACCACTGCTACTACTACCACTACTACTACTACTTCCACTACTATCACTGCTGCTTCTGCTACTACAATTACTACCTCTACTAATACTAAGACTACTACCACTACCAATACTAGTACCACTACCACTACCTATACCACCACCACCATCGCCACTACCACTACCACCACAACCACTACCACTACTACTACCAATACCACTACTACCACTGCTGTTTCTGCTACTACAATTACAACCTCTATTAATACAACTACCACTACCACTACCAATACAACTACTGCTACTACTACCTCTTCTACTAACCTGTGAAGATTCCGGGGTAGAATATGTCTTCAGCAACCCATGCTTGCCGTAAAATGTGACTCTGATTGTCGTAAAAGGCAACTAACAGGATCAGGTGGTCAGGTTCCCTGACTTGGTTGATGCATGTCATCGATCCCAAATGCGTGAATCGATGCTCATGACATTAATCACTGGATTGTCTGGTCCAGACTCGATTATTTACAGACCGCCGTCATATAGCTGGAATATTGCTGAGTGCGGTGTTAATCAACAAACCAACCAACCAACAACCAACCTCTTCTACTACTACTTTCACCACTGCTATAATAAGACTGCCACTACTGCCACTACTGCCCTTATCCTGCTGCCACCACATGATTACTACGACTACTGAATGAATGACACAATACAGCCCTCTGCCATGGTCCAGTGTCCACAAGCTATAGTCAATAGTATTGTGTGGTCTAGACATTGTGGAACATTGAGGGCATTGGCAATGTCTGTGCAAGCTGATGACAGGCTCAGTCGATATGGATTGATGACAAAGCTATCCTCATGTTTGACATGTTAAGCAGGCATGCATGAAGGACGGTAATACCACGTGAGTGACAGGGACACAGACCATTGTGACTGACGGGACCTGCCAGTTTACTCTTATAGATCTATTTGTGTGGCAACATTAGTGGTTCTCAGGGGAGGTGCGTTCACGCTCTTGGGAGGGGGTGGTTAGTTGAGCAGGTATAGTCACATGGGGGTAGTTGGTGAGGTGCGTTCACGCTCTTGGGAGGAGGTGGTTAGTTGAGCAGGTATGGTCACATGGGGGTAGTTGGTGAGGTGCATTCATGCTCTTGGGAGGAGGTGGTTAGTTGAGCAGGTATGGTCACATGGGGGTAGTTGGTGAGGTGCGTTCACGCTCTTGGGAGGAGGTGGTTAGTTGAGCAGGTATTGTCACATGGGGGTAGTTGGTGAGGTGCGTTCACACTCTTGGGAGGAGGTGGTTAGTTGAGCAGGTATAGTCACATGGGGGTAGTTGTTGAGCTGCGTTCACGCTCTTGGGAGGAGGCGGTCATTTGAGCAGGTATTGTCACATGTGGGTAGTTGGTGAGGTGCGTTCACACTCTTGGGAGGAGGTGGTTAGTTGAGCAGGTATTGTCACATGGGGGTAGTTGGTGAGGTGCGTACACACTCTTGGGAGGAGGTGGTTAGTTGAGAAGGTATTGTCACATGGGGGTAGTTGGTGAGGTTAGTTGAGCAGGTATAGTCACATGGGGGTAGTTGGTGAGGTTAGTTGAGCAGGTATAGTCACATGGGGGTAGTTGGTGAGGTGTGTACACGCTCTTGGGAGGAGGTGGTTAGTTGAGCAGGTATTGTCACATGGGGGTAGTTGGTGAGGTTAGTTGAGCAGGTATAGTCACATAAGGGGAGTTGGTGAGGTGGGTTCACACTCTTGGGAGGAGGTGGTTACTTGAGCAGGCATGGTCACATGGGAGTAGTTGGTGAGGTGCGTACACGCTCTTGGGAGGAGGTGGTTAGTTGAGCAGGTATAGTCACATGGGGGTAGTTGGTGAGGTGCGTTCACGCTCTTGGGAGGAGGTGGTTAGTTGAGCAGGTATAGTCACATGGGGGTAGTTGGTGAGGTGCGTTCATGCTCTTGGGAGGAGGTGGTTGGTTGAGCAGGTATAGTCACATGGGGGTAGTTGGTGAGGTGCGTTCACGCTCTTGAGAGGAGGCGGTTAGTTGAGCAGGTATAGTCACATGGGGATAGTTGGTGAGGTGCATTCACGCTCTTATGAAGAGGTGGTTAGTTGAGCAGGTATAGTCACAAGGGGGTAGTTGGTGAGGTGTGTTCATGCTCTTGGGAGGAGGTGGTTAGTTGAGCAGGTATTGTCACATGGGGGTAGTTGGTGAGGTGTGTACATGCTCTTATGAAGAGGTGGTTAGTTGAGCAGGTATAGTCACAAGGGCGTAGTTGGTGAGGTGTGTTCATGCTCTTGGGAGGAGGTGGTTAGTTGAGCAGGTATAGTCACATGAGGGTAGTTGGTGAGGTTAGTTGAGCAGGTATAGTCACATGGGGGTAGTTGGTGAGGTTAGTTGAGCAGGTATAGTCACATTGGGGTAGTTGGTGAGGTGTGTACTCGCTCTTGGGAGGAGGTGGTTAGTTGAGCAGGTATGGTCACATGGGGGTAGTTGGTGAGGTGCGTTCACGCTCTTGGGAGGAGGTGGTTAGTTGAGCAGGTATAGTCACATGGGGGTAGTTGTTGAGCTGCGTTCACGCTCTTGGGAGGAGGCGGTTAGTTGAGCAGGTATAGTCACAAGGGGGTAGTTGGTGAGGAGTGTTCACGCTCTTGGGAGGAGGTGGTTAGTTGAGCAGGTATTGTCACATGGGGGTAGTTGGTGAGGTTAGTTGAGCAGGTATAGTCACATGGGGGTAGTTGGTGAGGTTAGTTGAGCAGGTATAGTCTCATGGGGGTAGTTGGTGAGGTGTGTACACGCTCTTGGGAGGAGGTGGTTAGTTGAGCAGGTATTGTCACATGGGGGTAGTTGGTGAGGTGCGTTCACGATCTTGGGAGGAGGTGGTTAGTTGAGCAGGTATGGTCACATGGGTGTATTTGGTGAGGTGCGTTCACGCTCTTGGGAGGAGGTGGTTAGTTGAGCAGGTATGGTCACATGAGGGTAGTTGGTGAGGTGCGTTCACGCTCTTGGAAGGAGGTGGTTAGTTGAGCAGGTATAGTCACATGAGGGTAGTTGGTGAGGTGCGTTCACGCTCTTGGGAGGAGGTGGTTAGTTGAGCAGGTATTGTCACATGGGGGTAGTTGGTGAGGTTAGTTGAGCAGGTATAGTCACATGGGGGTAGTTGGTGAGGTGTGTACACGCTCTTGGGAGGAGGTGGTTAGTTGAGCAGGTATGGTCACATGGGGGTAGTTGGTGAGGTGCGTTCACGCTCTTGGGAGGATGCGGTTAGTTGAGCAGGTATAGTGAATTGGGGGGTAGTTGGTGAGGTGTGTTCACGCTCTTATGAAGAGCAGGTATAGTCACATGGGGGTAGTTGGTGAGGTGCATTCACGCTCTTATGAAGAGGCGGTTAGTTAAGCAGGTATAGTCACAAGGGGGTGCGTTGATGCTTTTGGGAGGATGCGGTTAGTTGAGCAGGTATAGTCACATGGGGGTAGTTGGTGAGGTGCTTACACGCTCTTGGGAGGAGGCGGTTAGTTGAGCAGGTATAGTCACATGGGGATAGTTGGTGAGGTGCATTCACGCTCTTGGGAGGAGGCGGTTAGTTGAGCAGGTATAGTCATATGGGGATAGTTGGTGAGGTGCATTCACGCTCTTATGAAGAGGCGGTTAGTTGAGCAGGTATAGTCACATGGGGGTGCGTTGATGCTTTTGGGAGGATGCGGTTAGTTGAGCAGGTATAGTCACATGGGGGTAGTTGGTGAGGTGCGTACACGCTCTTGGGAGGAGGCGGTTAGTTGAGCAGGTATAGTCATATGGGGATAGTTGGTGAGGTGCATTCACGCTCTTATGAAGAGGCGGTTAGTTGAGCAGGTATAGTCACATGGGGGTAGTTGGTGAGGTGCGTTCATGCTCTTGGGAGGATGCGGTAAGTTCAGCAGGTATAGTCACATGGGGGTAGTTGGTGAGGTGCGTACACGCTCTTGGGAGGAGGCGGTTAGTTGAGCAGGTATAGTCACAAGGGGGTACTTGGTGAAGTGCGTACAAGCTCTTGGGTGGAGGCGGTTAGGGGTGGGGTTCAGTTGGTGAGATGCATACACACCCTTAGGGATGATAGTTAGGTCACTGAGCATGTATAGTCACATGGGGGTAGTTGTCGAGGTTGGGGAGAAGAGTGTCAGTTGACAGATGGAGTGATTCTGACATGGTCCACATCTGCACATGAATGCCAGGTGGCTATAGGGCTCTTGGGCAGGGTCATCTATACACAATATGGTGTGTGGAGTTGACTGAGGCAGTAAATCCTTCATATCACTAGCAAGGTTCTGACTCATCTTGTAACAACAGTCTTTTATCTCAGAACACATGAATATGTACAATAGGTACACAACAAGCAGGGAAGCTGACTACAGTGTGTGCAAGTCAGCAAGCCAGCTTCCTTGTGTCACGGTCCGTGCTCGTGTATAAGCTGACAAACATAGTTATATATAACCCTCCCTGGTGGATATGCTCCTCCACCTGCCGCATCTCCAGGTATACACAATAAACTATCTGAAGCAACACAAACAAATTATTAGCTCAGTAAAGCGGACATGATGTTTTTATTTATATTCACATGACCTTGGAAATAATATCAATGTGTATGCTTTAGGGTTGGGACGGGTAACTCGGGTACTCGGGTCGGGTGGTTCCTGAATATGACCAGGATACCCACAGGACAACCCGGACCCGTGGTTAGTCATGTGATATATTGTTTAATGGCAAAAATTGTTCGCATTTCTTTCTGACTTTATAAAATTGAACAGAAATAAAACTTCAATCAACTTCAGTGTATGCATGACCAGATCGTTTATACAAGTATCTAAAGACATTTTGCCAGGGCTACAGTCAAACTTTTCCCAATCGGACATTTGTACCGATTTCTTGACACCTACAGCGGGTACCCTGGTAGGGTCAGGTAATAGGGGTGTGGGTACCCAGGTAGTAAATTTGGACTCATCCCAGCCCTAGTATGCTTGTCGTGATTCCCATCAGACGAGGTACATCATCTGAGACGTGGATTCTGAGATGACATACATCCCCACAATAGTGTCGTCACGGTGACAGTCCGCCAGGTAACACACATCCTGACAATAGTGTCATCGCAGTGACAGTAAAGCCAGCTGGCTCACTGCTCTCCATATTTCAGGCTGAAATAAATCATTGATGAATAGCATTTTTCAAAAACTTTATTAATAGAACACAAGTCAGATTATTGATCTGAACTCAGGATTAAAACTAGAGTACTTGACTAGCCCTTATTTATGGGGGAGGCCTGACAAGTGACACACCTTTCCAGAACAGATCATGCACATGACCATCTTCTGCAGAAATAGTTTCTAATGCAGCCATTTGTTCTCGTTGTTGTAGAGATCCACTACTTCAGTATCAGGGCTCATGTCAGACTACCTTCCTTTAAACACTTCCTAAACGATGTTCACAGTTAGAATGTTTTAAATTTATTCTGTATTAGGGCTGGGACAGGTAACTACCCAGACCTGTGGTTAGTCACATGATATATTGTTTAATGACAAAAATGATCTAGAACTTTATGGCAACACTACAAGTCACTAATGTTCGCATTTCTTTCTGCCTATGCACCCATTCCTACTCATTTTTCATATGGTTGAATAAGATATAACTTAATTCAACTTCACTGTATGGATGACCAGATTGTTTAATACATGTATCTAAATATGTTTTGCCAGGGCTATGCAAATAATGTTCCCAATCAGACATTTTAAGACGTCTCCATAGACAGCAGGTACCCGGGTATCGTCAGGTACTAAGGGGGTGGGTATCCAGGTAGTCAATTTGGACTCGTCCCAGCCCTATTCTGTATTACTTATCATTCACTTTTGCAAATTTAAGCACAAAAAACAATGTAACTGTGTTAAGATTGAAGTCTGACTCCCAGAGTGAATAAATTAAAAAATTGTGAATAAATTAAAAAATAAATCCAACTCAAGTCTAGAATGACTGGCAAGTCTAGATTGCCTCAGCTACCTGAAATTAAGAATTCTTCTGGGCTCCTTTTGGATTTGACTATTTATTTTATAATTTTATATTTTGAAATATTTGAAATATTTTAAAATAATGATAATTGGAATACAAACAGATCCACTGGTTGGGGAACAAATATAACTGCATTTGAGCAGATACTAGTACCTGGGTACCTGTGGTATATAAATGTATACTAGAATAATAATAACCTTATTCTGGGACAAAATGTTAGTGAAGAAAACCTGGTATGAAACTAAATACAATTGTTAGGTGACACAGAGGTTCTCTATTTCCTCCTGACACTACAGGGATAAGATATCAGCCATTAGCCTTGCCCCAAGGCTGTACTGAAAGAAAAGTCCATGGATGTGTAGTAATTCTATCCTCCTAATAGGCAAGTCTACATATGTGGAGAGTAAAGTCTCTTATAGGGACAACATGTTCTTATTATTTACATAATCTTGAAATTATGATTTTAATTGATAAGTATTGCCTTAGAGTCTTGTGCAAGTCTGAGTACTCAAGTCTGATAGGGACAACATGTTCTTATTACTTACATAATCTAGAATTTATTATTTAAATTGATAAGTATTGCCTCAGAGACTTGTGCAAGTCTAAGTACTCAAGTCTGATAGGGACAACTTGTTCTTATTATTTACATAATCTAGAAATTATGATTTAAATTGATAAGTATTGCCTTAGGGACTTGTGCAAGTCTAATCAGCCATGGGCCGAAGGACTTAGTTACTTCATTATTCCAGTGAATGCAGGAACGTGTATTTCCTAGGATGACCATGCATCAACACCGACACTTGGCAGCCTGCTCTCTGACCACATTCAGCTGACCACCCCTGAATCATATTCGCTCTTCACTGCAGTGAACAGCAAGCATCAAATTGTTTCTGATGGCAAGGGTCAAACCCATTCATTATTTCCACTGATTGATTTGGGGGCCAGGCGTGCTGCACATTTCTGGGATGTGGGGGGTTCTCAACCAAAGCTTTTAAGCTAATCATGAGAATCCGATGTGATCCGACATGTAGTCTCAAGATGCGCTCCAGTGATGGATCATACATGCAGGAAAATGTGCAAGTGTCAGTTAACTGAATCACATTGTCTGACTCATAGAAGAGGGAATCATCTGGACGACTATCAGTCCTCTGTTTGAAAATTACATGTACCTCTCATTGAACTTTCTACACGCATACACACATGCATAAACACAGAAACACACACACAGACACACACATGCACATATATACGCATGCACACAGATAAACGCACATTGCATGCAGTCACACACATACATTCACACAGATATACACACAGAGGGACACACACACATGCACACACACATGCACACACACAGTCACAAATGCACATATGCAGGCACATGCACACACATACACTCACAGACAGACACATGCACACACACACTCACAGACAGACACACAGATATAGACACACTCACTCAGACACATGCATGTACGTACGCACTCACACAAAGACACAGACAGAGACACACATAGATACAGACACAGACACTCACACACACACACACACACACACACACACACACACACACACACACACACACACACACACACACACACACACACACCACCCTTTCCCCTTCTAAAATTTCTGAATTGTAAATTTTCAAAATATTTCATAATTATTTACATTGAATAATTCCAAGTAAACTAAACCTTGAAAAAAACAGACCTTCAGAAAGTTGTAGAGTGAAAAAAACTACATTCTAAACTAAGCCAACATTATCGGTTGTCATGACTTCTGAACAACAGCAGAACAATATGTCTTATATATCCTGCTAAACCAACCATCTGACATCTGTAGCAACTGCCACACACAGCCTCCGATGCTCCCAGAGGTACCGCAGCATCTCCTACATCACACACTTGCCATGTTGTTGTTTATTGTCTCATTTCCATAGCAACACAACATGCACTAGTGAAGGCTAGCCATGCCGATTGTATAATTTTAGTTTTCCTGTTCGCTGGTGTCTGCAATCAGTTGCTGCCAGTGTTGTTCAAGCATTCTTACCAAAACATGTAATTGGGCAATTTAAATCTCCTACAGCCAATGTTTCTATCTTCTGAGAGCAATGAGGGCCAGATACCACGCTCCTGGTGTGATCCAGCTGCCCTGGGGTAGATAGGCCACGCCATTCACAAGATAGGAACAGTACTTACTTGATACTCAGCATCAAGGTTATACTTGATATGTGCCTGTAGTTCCTGCTGAGGTAAGAACGGTTCTCCGTAACTCTGTATAAGATATACCGTATTCAACGTAATAAGCGCCCAGGGCGTCTCAAAGTTAGAAATAAGGGGCTCTTATTACAATATAATTTTGGTGAGAGAAAAAACAGAGTTAAAAGATTGTAAATTTCGTAGTTTATGCTGACAGCCTGAAATGATACAACACAAAAGTATGTGCATACAGTGCCGTAGCCAGCTGGGGGTGCAGGGGGGCTGTTGCCCCCCCTGGATTTTTTATAGAAA